GAAAACCAGACAAGTAGAAATAGAGAAATTGTAGAAGGGGTCATTGAATTTTAGATCTTCTTAGATACAAACATAGCTGTATATTCTCAACTGTTATCCCACCACTAGGATTAACCAGTTATCTAGACAGGACAATCCACCACATCAGACTTGCAAAGAGGGGCGGTATAAAAAATGACAAGAAATGCATACATTTTTTTTGTGTTTAGGTGGGAAAGAGACTACTTAACCATTCAAGACAACTACTTCAAAGCTGACAAGAACTCTGCTTTAGTCTTTACTGGGCTCAAAATTCACACGAAAATTTAAATGAAAGCTGGGATTCTACAAAAAAGCCCCAAGCAGCTGCAAGGACACCCAAAAGGCTCTGAATCCTGCCCTACAGGCTGGACTGAACTGTATCACCATCGCTTTCATCGTAAACATGTGAACACATTTACATATTATCATTTCTACTGACTGCTGTAGAATAACCAAGGGGCTCAGAGATGGCTTGCTTGACCTACTTGGATAGTTTTGGTGATTTTCATAGCGGGATTTACTGTCCCCATAGCTGGGCTGATAGCAGCTGGAGCGCTCCTTTTTAAGCTGATCTTCTCTCTGGCATCCACCACTTTGGTCACCTTTTCAGCAGCACCACTTTGCTGCTTACGGGAATTCAACATCTCTCGAGCATCCTGCACCTTCCCTTTGATTTTGAACCGAGCGTCCTTTTGAACCAGTTTTTCACGAGCATCTTTAACCCCCAGTTTGTGTCGGGCATCAGTGAGTCCTATCTTCTGTCGGGCATCAAACGTCCGCTGGAAGCTGACAGCTGGTGATGATCTACTTAGAAGATTTTGCTGGATCCCAATGCGAGATCTTACACCTCCAAACACTGGCCTTGTGTTAAGCCTGGGGGGGTTGGGGGAGAGGAAAAAAAAGTTTCAAACATTAGAAGATGTGATAAAGTACCAATAAAAGTATTTGTGTTGCTGCAAACAAAAGCTCATTATTACTTCACAGAAATCTGTTCACATTAGATGTCCAAATACAACAGTAGAGCTCCTAAGCTGTTTTGTGCTGGATTTTACTTTCTACATAAACAGCTAAGGAAATTATTTCCCAAATCCATAATAAGCTCACATTAAAAAACTTAAGTAAAGGGTCTCACTTCAGTAAGTACATACTACATTTAAACAAAATTCATCAACAACTTGGGTACTTTGGGGAAACCTTTGAAGACAAAGAGGAACAGTAACAGACTTTCTAGCTTTAGGACTGAGCAGGTCTGCTAAAGCATCTTTTTAATACAACAATATGTCCCAAAAAAAAGGAACTACAGAAAACACAGAACTACACATGATTTCAAGAATTCTGGGCAGCAAGTTCAGATTTGTGGAAAAGCAGAGGCTTGGATTTTAGGATGTACAAGCACCAGTACCAATCTCAGTTCAAAGCCACCAGTTTCAGAGCTGATTAACTGTCAGCAAGAACACTTGTCAGTCAAATTACTTTTTAACATCACTTCTTTAATCTATGAACCGAACTGTTGCACTCATGCTTAAAAAGTAAAGACCACCATCATCATCACAATACTGAGTACAGAAAGGTAACAGCCCACAGAAAGGACAGCATTTGTACTTGTGCACAAGTATTACTAAGAAGCAGCCCATTATGTAGTGAAAGCTGAAACTAGCTGCTTCTTACAGGTATGATTCACTTTTTGAAAATCTCCCCTAGAAGGAAACAGCTTGTTTAATTTTTTTAAGACAGTTCCTCCTTTAAGTATTTTTTAATGTTTTCTTTCTTCTGCTGGGTTTCTTTTTTTAAAGAAAAAGAAGTGGTAAGAGGAATTTTAAAGCTAAGGTATTGAAAAATATTCTTGCTGTTGGCTTTTTAAAATCCAAAATAAGCTACAGAGGGCTACAGTGTTCATCTGCTTTCTGAAATGTATTGTCCAGTATTATAAAGTCTAAAAGTAGATATCTAGAATTCATTGTAATACTCAAAAGGCTAATATCACAAGTTCAAATGACGATGCAGTTTGAATTCTTCACACAGCTTTATATCAGTATTTCCTGATCTAACCCTACAATCTTAACATTATTTACAGTCATGTATTTTGAGTGGAAAGATCTGTTAAAAAAAAAGAAAAAAGAAAATAGAAATGGAAGACTGAACCTCCACTTCTGTCTTTCATTCTTGTATCCAGACAACTGGAGACCTAGGACTGGGGACCCATTTTGTTACCTAGCAAAGAATACTACAGCTGCTCTCTCATAAAGCCAAAGCACCCTAGCTAGAATAAATGAGAGTATTAAGACCATTTATTAAAATATATCCAGAATAATACAGAAGACTAGCAGTACCCATAAAGCATCAGCCAGAACAAGACTTCCCTTGCAATTTTAAAAAGCATTAATTTAGCTACGTTGAAAGCATCCAGCTAGAGTGCTGCAAAAGGGCTTGATGAGTGGTTCTTTTTAATGAGCATAAAAGAGGTCAAAGTAAAGCCAGAAATATATGTATCAGCATTTAAGCCAGAATTACTTAAAACTGTTAATGACACAAACTAATGAAATCTGTTAGGAAACTCTGTACTGGAGATTACACTGTCTCTGAAGACTTGTGTCCATCCTTATAAGCAACGCCTCCAAGGAGAATTGCTTACTCTGTAACAGCATTAACTGTTTAGGCATTTTGTGCCACAGCACCTGAAATAAAAGGAAATCTCAAACACCTAAGTCACTTTCCAGACTTCCAAGTTCTGGCTTAAATATTTTGTGGATTAGTACATTTTATAGGTGAAGATTTTCCCGTTATTTCATCTAGATCACTGGACAGCATCGATATAATGATTTAAGTTTATTCACTTTATCCAGCCTTCACAAAGTCAAGTTAGCTGCCTCAGAAATCTTATAAGTGAGCTGAAGATCACAAACAAGAGAAATGGAAGGCACAAAAATTCTTACAGTGCTGTAGAGGGATTACTGTTCTGCAAATAAAAGCAGGAAGAATTCCTGGAAGAAATGAGAGTTAAGGAGGGATTTGAGAAAGGAGGTGCTTGGCATATTAAGCAGCATAAGACTATTCCAAATACGCGGGATAACGTGAATGAAAGCGCAAAGCCAGGGCCTTGTCTAGACTAGGATTTAAATATGTGTTTGAATGTTTTGCTAGTATACATTAGCAGATAACTTTCAAAATACTACTCTAGACATGCAAGTGTAGACGTTCAGAGTTAAAACCTAAGATTCCCCAATGACCATTACATTATAAAAAACAAGAAAACAAAAAAAGGAGCACACTTAGCTAACTGATGGGGAGAAATCCATGGACAAGATCTTCAGAAGTATCAAACGACTACTGCAGAAGGGAAGATGAAAAGCTACCAAAGGAGAAGCCAAATAAGAACCACCAACAGCTGCACTAGAGTAAATGGCCCAGCCTACACTGGGGACATCTGCCATACAAAGAAAAGAACCCGATCTTGTTGCTAATATGTAATGCACCCTACACCCCCACGAGCATTTCAAATAACCTGTCAGCGGATCATTAACTACCAGAAGCTACAGTTTCCAAGGCAAGCAATTTTGACGAAGCCATTGCAGCCTGAAGCCTTCGCCTGTGCGGCTCCCGGTCAGCTTTGCTACAGTTACGGCTCCCGGTGGCACAACTACACCTCCCACG